CAGGCGTTTCTCTCCCCGCCCCCCCACCCGCCGCTACCGTCGTCGGCTTCCGCTACGGCTGAACCCGGGCAGCCTCCTCCACCCCCAGCAGTGGCAGCGGGGGGTTCTCCGGCTTCATCGGAACCCAGCGGCAAGTGGAAAAGTGCTAGTAGTAGCAGCAGCACCGGTAGCGGCGGCGGGAGCAGCCTTCGGAAGAGCCCCATGGGGGCCGGCGGGGGCAACTCCAGCCAGGCGGCCTGCCTCAAGCAGATCCTGCTGCTTCAGTTGGACCTTATCGAGCAGCAACAGCAACAGTTGCAGGCCAAGGAAAAGGAGATCGAAGAACTCAAAGCCGAGAGGGACACAGTGAGTTGGGTATTGGGGAATGTTGGGTAGGATGGGTTAACGTTCAAGTTGGAGCGAGTAATGTTCTGGGAAAATGTGGTAATTCAAGGGTTAATAGTTAAAATATTGGGTGTGCACTGATTTTCGAAGGGTTAACTTCGGGATCCTAGTGTTAACAGTGGGAGGGGTTAATGTAAATCATGGCGTCTAATGAAGGGGATGCACATGCTTAGTGAGAATGGATTTGTAGAAGTGGTAGGGTGAACTGGCACTGATAATATGTGAAGGGATAAGTGTACAGTATATGACTTTGGCACCTAGTTCTGGGAATCAGTTCTAGATACAGGGAGAGTTAAGCAAGAAAGATGAAGAATCCAACAGAGATATTCTCTACCAATCAAAATAGGATGCATGAGTAGAAGAGTGGGTAAAGAGTTTAGTGTAATTGGGGATTGGCTCCTGAAATGAAAATCAAATATAGAAACAGTATGAGAGAGATTAACTGTGACAAGGAAATGAGAGCTGCATAAAATTCAAAAACAGAGTCCTACTTTCTGTATAATCATAGTAAACTACAATACAACAAACCCAGCAATACAAGGTGTAACTAAAGTGTTACAGCTTGGTAGTTAATTGGACTAAAATATAGCCTGTAATATTGGTATGCCTCAAGTTGAGCAACCGTAGGGTTAATAGCCTAGGGGTTAAACCAAGAAGCCTGTTGGGTGATTTGGCTACCTGATAGGTGGGGTTAAGGACACTAGTACAGCCCAGATATGTAATGTTTGGGGATGGATTCTGGAGGGATTGCAGCTATCTGGGAGGAGGAAGGGTGTATGGCCCCAGGACAGGAATGAATTGGCAACATCAGGGTTAACTTAAAGCAACAGGCATGTGCTTTGGGGAAGTATGTGGCACAAAATGAGTTAATTTAAAGGGGACGGGTTTGGGGCAGCAAAACAATCAGCTGCAGTTTATGCCATGTGGACACCAAGAGGAGAGAGGGAGGGCCTTTTAACTGCTACATTTTAAAGGAATATTACAGGTGTAGGTTTAGTGCCTATCTTACATCCCTTCTCTGTGTGATTTCCTTCCTTTCCCATTTTCTAGAAGCACCAGTCCACTTTTTAATTATGTATATTGCAGAAAAAAATATGTGCCACTCTGGTAAGGCATTCCTCTCTACTTTGCTCGGACCCTACATACTCTATCTTGCCTTCCCCTCATCTTAGTAAATAATGTAAAACTCAGCTGTTCAGAGCCTATGAACTTGCAGCATGAGAGCTGATGTTAATGGAGAATTCTGCCTCTCTGTACAAAAGAGATGCCTACTGCAAGCATGGGGATGGATAAGTGGTCTGTTACTTACCCTGTTACCATAAAAGGTAAATGAGGTATAGGCTGAAGATTGGGGAGAGATAATGTGGATCAGCTGCAAATGAAGGTTGGTTTGTTTATTTTGCTGTTTTTGAGACAGTAGTATCTGAAGTAAACAGTGTATAATGTAAAGTTCTTAGCTGTAGTCCTAGAAATAGTTGTTTTATGGTTTATCATTTTAACTGTTCCCCCTCCAACTCCTGTCCCTAAATTGCCAAAAAGGATTTTAATCCTGGCCTGTATGCATGACACGTCTGCAGCCTAAAAATAGCCCCCTCTTTCCAGTTCCTGCAGCTGCTGCACCCATTATTACTAAGGAAAGAAGCACTTCTCTCTCCTCTCCTTTAGTCATAATCTTCAGGGTCTATGTTCAAAGTGCATGTGGGGTAGGGTAGTAGCATTAGCCTCTGGTTTCAGGAAGTAGCAGCACACATACTTAATATTTTACTGTTTGTAGCAGAAGACTGTGTTCCGACATTACAGTATAAAAAAAATCTCCCATCAGGCCTGTGCAAAGTTAACCAATATGAAGGTGTCAGCTGCCATTTTGCAGGCAAGGATGTTATGATAGCAGACTGAGTAGTTCGCATGCTCTTGCATAGGCTTAAAAAAAAAAAGCAAACCATAAACATGCACACCAGGAGGAGCTAGAATATATACAGAACAGATAAATGAAAGTTTGCAAGTTAGGTGGATGCTAGAACTGCTGGCTTGGTTGCTTCTGCATTAGCTAATTGCAGATTTATAAGGTATCTGCAGTGATTCTCTTGTTTTTGTTCCACCCCTTCTTCCTATGGGGAGATGCCTCACTTTAGTTTCAGTTTTACAAATAACTAGAATATCACCAGCCTCTCTTACATGTTGCGCACAATAGTAATGTTTAAAATGGAAGCTTTGTGGAAATTGGTTTTAAATTGTACTGTTCTAAGAATTACCATCTGGGTAATTCAATAAGTAAAGGGCTGGGGCCTTGATTGCACTGCCATGACCACCATCTGGACTTTTTGGACCCTCTCCCCGCTAGACATCACTGTTCTTTCACCTCCACTCTCCACAGAAAAGAACTGCTACTGCTCCTCACACCCCACCCCCAGCAGTATTTTCTGTACATATTGCTTGCATTTGTCTGGTCATTTGGGGGAAAAAAATGAGCTATCGTAGCTGTGTGAAGCTACCTGGCTATTCAGCCATCATTCCACCTGAAAGCTGAGGAAATGGAGTGATTTCATACCATCAGGAACTTTTTGCAATACTTTAAACCAAAATTATGTGCCATAGCAGTGGCTGAAATGGGGAAGGGGTAAGGAATTTGGAACAAAATGTACACTCTTTAAGTGACACCTGTGGGCCCTTGTGTACCTAGCAATATCTTCATTGGAGTCTGGAAGGCTCCTTGGCCCATCTGATTTTATTTTTACATTTTTTTTAATTAAAGGGAAACCAGTATGGTGCAAACCACTTAAAACATTGCTTTTCTTAGTTTATTGTATAGTTGAGAGGCTCTAGATATAGCATAATTTCACTTGCGTTCCTGTTATTGGTATTAACCTGATAATTTTTAAAAATTCTATTTTAACATTCCAGTCCAAATACTTTGCAATTATTTATATTAGATTTATAACCTGCCTTTTGTAACAGGAGTTGAAGACAGCATACATCGTGCTCCATCCTCCTGTTTTCCCCACAACAGCTCTGTGAGGTGGGTTGGGCTGAGAGAGAGTGACTGTTCCAAAGTCACCTACCCAGCTTCTGAGCCTAAGGGAGGACCCTCAAAATTTTATTTAGTGGCTGCATGCAATGTGCAGGTCCTTTGAATATAATCATATAGCAATCTGTATAAAGGAAACAGAGGCAAAGAGAAACATAAGTTAGATTTTTGATAGTGTGTGCCTAAGAGAAGGGAAAGTCTGATAGTCCTATGAAATAGACCACTGTTAGCTCCTGCTTTACAAATTGACAGCTTAGATAAAGGGGACAACTTGACAAAATCTTCATGTGGCATTCACAGCTAAGCTGAGTTTTCAGCCAATAAAGCTGTCATAAATGGCTCTATATTTGATTTCTGTGGTACTGCTTCAGAATTAAGATACCCTTATTAGATAGAGAGCTTGTAGTTGTATGTGTGTTGCTTTTTAAAGCTCTGGTATCGGTTCTGGGTATATGCTTTAAGAACCACGGGGACAGAGTCTGTTGCCAGTACTATCTGATGAATGTGAGCTAGGAAGTAGTAGTAAACATTGACCATCCTTTGTGTTTTTAATAATTATAGGTTTTTAAAACCTATAATTTAATATTCTGTGAGTAAAAATATCCTAATTTGAAATGTTAAATGTACACTATTATGTGCATATAATTCAAAATGGAACATGCATAGGTCCATCTCACATTAACAAAGGGAAGTAACATAAGATACAGCTGCAAGGTTGCTCCTCTAAATTCTTATTTATTACAGTAGAAATTTCACCTTTTTCTCATAGAAGTAATAGCATCCACTGATTTGGAAATTGAGCCCTTACATTATTAAAGCTGTGGGGCACATTCATTTCAAATGCAAAGAGGTGCTTTAGGTTACACAGGGGCAAATATGCAGACAGTTGCAACTTTTTAAAGCTTTAAAGTAAATATTTTCCTGGATTGCGTAGCTGCCCTTTGAAGCTGCCATGCAGTCCCAAGAAAAGTTGAGTTTGTTTTAATGAGTTGCGAATAAGTACTATATGCATGCCCTTGCATGCTCCAATGCACCTTTTTGCCTTCGAATCCATAGCACTAACAGCTCTAAAAAACTATTCTCTCTGGTGATTTACATGTACTAGAAGTAACTACCATGGTGTTTCCTCATAAAAAGGAAGCCAACTTCTTTTTTTGAAACAAAAGCTATATCCTGGCAAAGAGATACATCATTGGCTAGTCTATTAACACTGGCATACAACAGTTTAAACACAGTGTGTATATTCATTGTGGAAAGGATTACTGTTTCTGGTCATTTAGCTGAAAATGGATGATAATGTATTTTGAAAAAGAATATTTTTCCTCACAGTACATCCAAATGGTGACAGTCTTGTCAAGAATTATTTTAAACAAATAATCACACAGTATATTGGTAAGCACTGCAGACTTCGCAATATGAAAATAGTGCAACTTGTGTAGAATTTGCACTTTGTTTCCATCTAAAGTCAAAGTAGAGTGAGTTTTAGTAACTAGGAACATCGGATTTAATTAATGGAATACCCCTTTAATATCAAATTGCAATGTTATGTTCTTAGCTCCTTGCTCGAATTGAGCGTATGGAAAGGAGGATGCAACTGGTGAAGAAGGACAACGAGCGTGAGAAACACAAGATATTTCAAGGGTATGAAACAGAGGAGAAGGTTGACCCTGAAGTACCTGAGAAGCTGCCTATAGAATGCCCACCACAAGAGCTCCTGGAGACCTCCCAGCCGCTGCCTTTGAAACATTTCCCATATGGAAGGAATGGGAAGGGTCACAAACGGTAAAGCTAGAAAGCTGCAATTGTATGTTTTTAAACCTATTCTGCCAGGGTTGTACTTCTATGAAAGAGGTATCTGTTGCTTACGAAGAAATCCTAATATCTTGCAAAATCTAATTTCTAATGTTTTTGGAGGAAACATCAGTGGTTAAACCTAGTTGCAAAAATATTCACTAAGGATATACATCACTATGACTGAATCAAATTCAATTTCTTGAATACTAATTCCGATTCTCACTGATGTGAAACAGGATCCTCACAAAGTAACTCAAATTGAACTGAAATTGATCAGAATTTAAAGAAACCTAGCTTCAAAACCTGTGCGCTTGCTTTTTTGAAATTAGACAAGTTGTGCCAAAATGAATCTCTACAATATCCGCATTTTTACTGAGAGTTGTTAACTGAACAATGGAGGGGATTGATTCATTTTTTTTAACATCCCAAATTTGGCAGGGGGAACCCTCCTTTTGTATAACTAGCTGCATGCTGGAATATTTTTACTTTGCCTGTAACTTTAATTGTATATTAATACTTTTTAAAAAGTTACAGCCATTTCTGTTTTCCCCTGCTAGTCAATGGGGGACATGAATCTCACTTCAGAGCCAGATCATGATTAAATGGGGCACCCTCAATTATAGTTCTCTCCTAAGTAGAATTACTTGCAGGAAATATTACTTTGAATGATAATCTGCATGAGCAGCATGGTACCTAAGCTTATATGTTAATTTGATATGTCTTTGTTCCTCCCTTTTGCCAAGGAAAAAAGAGGGCACAGTGTGTCTTATATACCCATCTTACTGTTCCTTTTTAGGGGAAGCAACTTTATGCAGAGTGCAGAAAGGAAATATGAAGTAGTAGGCCAAAGAAATTAAAGACAAGAGATAAGAAAAAGAAAGGGAAACATAGCTATAATTAGTTTATATCAATACCATTTATTGTATTTCTACATAGTTTTCTGTCACTACAGTCCATCCTTATTATCACCATGTCCATAATCACTTCATACATTGCCTTTTGTTTTTTAGAATGTAACATGCTTTGATGGTAAAAAAAATCTTCTACAGAAGAATTTTGGGGATAGATCAATAATTACAAAATGTTAATTACTCCTCTACTTTTTAGTATTGAAAATGCTTTATGTACACTTTCAGTAATCCCTACAACATTACTGTAAAGGAATATTAATGCTATTACACCTCCCCTACATTTACAGATGGAGGGATGATTTGAGATTTCAAATAGAGAGCTCGTGACTTACGCTGCTGCTGATTCACAATAATCTATTGATTGCTGGTTTTGAGATAAGCGCTTCATTCAGGCTAGGGTTTTCTGTTAAATACTGAATGTGATAAAGTTTAGCTGGTCAGGAGCTATAGGATAGTACTTTTGTGATTTGTCATGATTCTGAATTCTGAGATCCTGATAGTTATGCTGAACTAAATCTTGTGACTTCTTCAAAAAAGGTCGTTTTAAATCCATGTGTGAATTCCCTTTAGATCTGAGAAATTGTTGGACTTTAATTTGATTTCTAATTTTTAAATACCTTGATAAGACCCAATAGGTCCTTTATAGCCTTTTTTCTATTTGCTGCTATTAGCTCCTTTCCCTGTCCTTTTGCAGAAAATCTGCGTTTGGAAGTGCCGAGAGGAAAACTCCAGTGAAGAAGCTGGTAGCTGAATTCTCAAAAGTCAAATGTAAAACGCCAAAGGCTTCTCCATTAAAGGAGGAACCCAGTAGTTCTTTAACTGAGTCAATAAGCAGACGTGAACTGCGAAGTCAGGAGACTCCAGAGAAAACTCGATTATTGGTGGACACACAATTGAAGTCTTCGACTCCATTGAAAGGACCTGGGTGCCATTCAAAGGACAAGGGCTCCTGCAGTGAAATAGAAGATTTGCCGTATCTTTCCACCACTGAAATGTACTTGTGTCGGTGGCACCAGCCACCCCCTTCCCCGTTGCGAGAGCCTTCTCCCAAGAAGGAGGAGACTGTAGCAAGTAAGAGGCTTGCTTGTGCCTTTGTGGTGATTGGCCTGATGTGGGTTGGAGGGGGCATGGAACTCATTCATTGGGGGTCTCCTTAAGAGTTTTTTGAACACTTGAAGACAGCTAGAGAGCAACATTCCATTTCTGAGTGATGCTGATGCAGGTGATTGACTGGGTCTGGAATATCGAAGCCTTTGAAACCCTGCCTGCTCTAGACTGCGTGTGAGCAGTGTATGAAGATCAACCACCCTGTTTAGTGACCTGTGGTGATATTTATGAATAACAGTGACATTTATGGCTCAATGTGCTCACAATATATGCAATAAACATCCCTTTCTGTCACCATCTGCTCCCTTTCATGATATTTCATGATGGGGGGAGGGGTTGGTTGTACAAATGAAAGGAAGTATATCAGCTAACTAATTGTCAGTTGAAAATTAGCTAAAGTGATCCAAGAGAAGTGCACTGGTTTGTGTGATTGAGAAGTCTGGTATTGCTGGAGCTTTCCAAGGTAATAAATTAGGGGTCTCTCTCTGCCTTTGTTCCCTTCCTAGGCAACTCCTAGGTTATAAGCTATCTTGGCTGTATCTCAAAGTTGCTCTGACAAGCTGTTCAGTGATTAGAGTTAAGGTTTTGTGGCAATTGTTTATTCTAAGTTTATGAGGTGCTGCTATAGCATTGTCACCCTTTGGGACAAGATACAGTTAAGTTTTGAAATCTTGAATCAATATCCAAACTAGAGTTGCACTCTGAACTGAGGTATATGTTAAATCAGCAGTTATTCTACCTTTAAATGAAGAAAAAGGTGGAGCAGAAGGGAAAGTAGAAATGGAGGAAGAGGCAGAAAATAAGTAGGATTAAAATGGGCTGCAGGTTACTGATTGGGTATAAAAGTTGGCCTCACTGGGGATTAGAAGAAATGGAGTAGCAAACAGAACCCTGATTAAGATAGTCTAGTCAGACTATTTTAAAAGATCAAGACAATGAATTGCCAAAGTTCTGATGTAACAGAATGCTAAGATATGGTATAAAGGTCATTTTTCTGAAGTCAAGATTATACATATAGTGTAGCTTTGTTAAGAAAAGGCATGGAGAAGTTCCTATTGTACTTTACACTGAAGCAAAGAATGTAAGATATGGAAGGGTTCACACATCACAATGAGCCAAGTATTATGTCGTATTGTCAATGAGCTAATGTGCTGCCACACACTATTCAATTGCTGCCAATTGACCCCTTCTATAATGGGAATGAATACATGAAAAAGTCTTCAATTAGATTGTTCTCTAAACCAGGATCCTTGTCTTGGCTCTTACAAACAAGCCAAGGATCAGAAACATGAATAAAGCATGACTTCCAGTACTAGATTGATAAGAGCACATGCTATAGATCCTACGTAAGATCTCATCATAATTTAGCCATGGAAAGAGATTTGACAGTTTGTTTATCTGTTCCTGGGAGCAGATTGAGCAGTGTTTATGGTTATGTTTTCTGATTCATGGTAAGCCAATATTTGCAGAAATTCAGGCCTACTGTGATATGCAAACAGATCAGACTCAATTGTGTAAATTAATGTGTACATGTTCTTATTTTTAATTCTGATTGCATAGGTTAAAAAATTACTAAAATATTTCATAAAACGTGGAGGTATGTGTGTTTGTGTGTATAAATAAAGTAGTGCTGGTAATGGAAGACAAACTGATAAGCTTTGAGTGATAGTATGTTTGTATGAGTAATTAGACAATGGGAGACCATGAAAAATGGGTTTTGAGCTATCCAGAATTTATCTGCTCTGTCGTCTAGACTCTTGTAGGAATCAGCATTCCTAGCTGCTAGAGTTTTTTCTGATGTACTCTGCATTAATAAAACAAGTGTTCATCTAGATAACATAAATTTGGCATTCCAAATGTTTTATATAAAATATATGATAAACAGTAATATAATTTATTGAATTGAGCCTTGACTTTACATAGCAAGGAAAGAATTGTAGCTGACAAGATCATGAGCTGAAATTTTGGAAGATGAAGGATCAAAAGAAAAGAGTGTTGTTCATTGATCTTGTAGATTTTAGTCTTCTCAAAGTATTGAATGATTTGAAATCACTACATTTTTAATTGAACTACAATTTTCAGGTTTCCTAAAGAGAAGCCATGATAGTTAAATTGGTTTATCTTTATAGTGTAGGCAGCTGAAAACATCTTACTGCATAATGTCTGAGACTTTCAGCATACTTTCATATCTTTATCCATGAGAGCTAAATTTGGGACAGGGAATGAGGTATTTACAGAAGAGCATCTTAATATACATGTCCTTGTTTCAGAGGAGGGGCATTATGCTGTTTCAGTCAGAGGATAGCCGTTGTATGTGTTTGTGTAGCAACTGCTTGTTTTAATTTCCTTCTTTGTAGCCTTCTGAAAAAGTAGTTGATTCCTTCCATGGATAACTCTATATCTTGAGATTAAGCGTGGGGGCAGAATTACTTAAAACAAATATGACTAACACCAGGCTTTCTTCAATCAGTTCTTAAGTATATAGCTTCTCTATGTGCCTTGAAGAAACTAGGAAGAAAATGTGTGACAAAATGTTTCATACATAGATTGGTTATCCCTGCTGGCTTTTCTCCATAGAACAACCAGGTATTACTGTCCTTACGTACTTCAGTGGGTGATGGTCTTGGAATGAGATTACTTCGCATGGGTCACACGTACTTAACCCATAAAATAACCTTATCATGGTTTACTTCAGTAAACAACACAATGAACCATCAACTATGGGCTAGATTCACACAACACATTAGGCTAAAATATTAGTTTAAGGTTCAGTATGTGAATGCAGTGATTAAATGAGAGAATTTGCTATTCACTATGCTTTTGATAGTAGCACAGTTTGTTCTGTTAGCTTGATTTTCTTCACAAACAAACTCCCCATGAAGATATAATTCAAGGAAAACATTTCAGTCTTTTTCATCAAGCTGTTGGGTTTTTTACAAGCTGACTTGTCAGGTATAGTATTCTTTTTTCCCTTTGGGAAAAAGCAGTGTTCTTCCAGTTAGGAAAAACAAATGCTCTCCTGCTGAATATCCTCATTTGTCATTGTTCCTATTGGAGTAAGGTCCTTTCTGTGCCTCTCCAATTTCAGCTGTAAAATTCCCAATCTTCCCCAATTACTTACAAGTGTCTAGGACTTTTGTTTGATGTCATCCCATGTTTCACCAGTTTGAACCTGAACAGAAATGAGCTATTTTGCAATTTTTTCCTACAGCGTCTCACAAAATGGCAAACAAAATACATTTGTTGGAGAAGCTGCAAAGCAATTTCCTTTTGAAGGTTGGGAAAGAGATTTTTTTTCCTCTCACACAAGATTGCGGACGCTTCTTCCTCTTCTAAGTTAGCTTTTACTTAATCCCAGGTTGCAATTGTATAGTAGAACAACAACAAATTGAGGGCCTGATCTCTTTTTGTGTCTTTGGCTTTGCCCTTGTCTATTTGACTGTTTTTGCTAACTTAATAAGTACTTGTGTCTTAATAATTGCCTTGCTATATTTGTTTAAAGGTTCATTAAGTCCAGCAGCTTACTTCCATCTGTAGCCAATTTGTTACTTTGGGGCAGTTCAGATGTCAGGCACAATGGAAATAGCCACTTGGTCATGTGCCTCAAATACTCTGAAAATGTTTCACTTGTAATTCTCAAGGATAATAAGCATTCATGAATCCCTTTCTCTTTTTTAAAAGTATTGAGCCCAATGTCTCTTGCAGGATCCTGTGATACTTAGCCAATTCTTCAGGTGGAGCTAGAGCTGATTTAAACTCAGAAGATTTGGTGATGGTTTGCTATAGAGACCTAGTTTGTGAGGCCTCTGTGAATGTCTTGGGTAAATGGTCACCAGAGATAACCTTTAGAGTGTTAATCTCTTCAAAAGTTAGCTTGGCAACTTTTAGAAAATGTTCCAGGTAACTTTGCAAGTATAATGGTAGAAAATACAGTGCTGGTTTACAGCCACAGAAGATGATAAAATAGGCAATCATTATGATATGTGTAGGCAAATGGGCTTTTATGGATTTCATTTATAAATCTTGGCTAAAATTAATACTACTTAGATACTTTTAACTGGAATATGTACTATAAAATATTTAAGATATATATGTATAATAAATATTGGTTCCAATAGCACATAATAGTAAGCCATACAACGGTTTGATTGGTTTGACTGGTTATTGATTTATAAACTACAATGGCTAGATTATATAATTTGCTAAGCCAGAATCAGATGAACCACATTGTGGCTTAGTATGATGTAGGAATCCATCCAGTGTTCTATAAGGGAATTTTGATTTGTATTGAACTGTACAACCTGATAAAAGGGAAGATCCTTGCAGGTCAGCTTTAGATTGTCGACAGTCTGGAAAATAATAAATAAATGATTGATTTTATGGGGCTGTTAAATATGAAAAACTATATCTATCTATCTAGATGTCTATAAAATGTTATAAAAACAAGTGACTTCTTACCACCGAATAATTATGATTCCACAGTGCTTACTTTGGATTGTAGCATTTGAACATTGCTGAAATTAAAGCCTTGCTGAACTCCAAAGCTGACTGGGAAACCTGAAGCAAATCCTGTCTCTGTCAGAGGGTGCTTGAGTATGAAATCAAAAGGCATTATGTAACCCACCTTGAGCACTTGTGTGAGTGTGGGGAAGTTTTTAAAAATAAATTTAACAGCAAGTTAAATTCAAGCCATCAGATGAATAATACTTGAAAATTGTATGTCCACTAAAGAGGACGAAATTCAAGTATGTATGCAGAATGGTGAAAAGAAAAAAAAGGAAAGTGTTAAGCTAATTAATACTAGTGAAATTAATTTGAATTCAATTAATAATTGAAACTAAGCTGAATTTAACTCAAAACATTTGGATGGCTACATTGTTAGCTTCCTTTACTGAAATACTTCTTTAAAATTAGTATCATAACACTGTTTTCCCCTTTCTAGTTCCATCATGGAGGGACCACACAGTAGAGCCCCTGAGAGATCTGAATCCTTCTGAACTTTTGGAGGTATGTAAGCAAATAGCTTTACAGCAAGAATTGAGCAACACATAGGCATAATTACTGATGTAGAATAGGTAGTTTAGGAAATTGTTATGGAAGAAGAACTGTATAGTTTCTGTATTTGCCAGTGAAAGGTGGACAACTACCCTTAATACTGTCCTTTAGATTAACCCGATATTCCTTACAACTATTATGGAAACATATGTTGAAATATCAGACAAAATGGGCAATCTCTTTTATATATACCCTGGTAAACTTTGTAATGCTTATCTCTTGATCTGGAGTGGTGAGATTGATCTGGAGTAGCTGTGGATTATATATTTTGAGTAGCCCCTGAAGCCCCCCAAAATCATGATGGCAAATTGTTTATTTACAATGGTACAATTTATCACCTAAAATTAAATACCAAAATGAATTCATTAAGCCTCTGATAAGTACAGTGCCCCTCTAAATAAATAAGCTCTCAAATATACCTCTCCCAAAGTGCTGAAAATTCTGGATCCACATCCTTTAATGACATACTGACCTGTTCTCTGCAGTCCAAAGAATAGTTAAAAAGCGAACCCCCGTATTGCTGCATCTGCTCTACGTAATATAACTATTAGAATTTTAGCATGTTATGGTGGTTTTTTGAGTTTGCAAATTATATTTAGCCTTCAGTATAAAACAGATAGTTTACTAATCTGAACAAAGCAGGGTTTCTTGTACTGAGATCTATGTTCATGAGACTGATAAGCAGCCATTTTGTCTTGGCTCAGTATTTTCAAAGCTGACCATCAGCCTACTTGATTCCCAAGGGAGGTATTTCAAGGGAATTTCACAGGGATTGTCATACCTTGATAAGATATAGTGCTGGATGAGACAATCCTTATTTTTAATTGTCAAATAAAGAAAACTCTCCAGAGCAGTGTTGTAGATAAAGGGCATTTTTTGGCATGTGGTTTCCAGGGCCTTGGCTGCCAATGCTGATTGACCATCTTCATTTTTTATTACAGTGCTTAATCTTGCTATTTAGGTTTAATTTGTCTTGCCAAGCAGGTGCAAAAAAATATCCGCTATTTCAACCCTGCCTATTCATGTGGACAACTGAATGGTGATTCTCCAAGACACTTATTTTTGTTGTGGGTTTTCATCCTATATCGGGCCTGACATCCTTTTTTTGGCCAGCGACTGTGCTGAGGGCAGGGGAGAGATTTGATTTCTGAGCACTGAGTTGGAAGTAGTGGGGTCATTGCGATATCACCAAAAGAAGTGAAACTAATGTAGCTTTTGAAAGGAATTGTTGAACTTAAAAGTGATTGGTTATTTCTACTTAAGGCTTTTTCTGTTTATTTTCTTTTTAAAATACTGCTGACAAAAGTTGGAAAACTGCCAAATTTGGGTGGGATGACCGTGAGGGATTCTGCAACTTTGAGGGTAGGGGCAGGAGATGAGTCTTTGGACCTTTTGTTGCCCTAAGGACTGGCTACAATTGTTTTCATAGCCAAAATGAATATACTAATAATACCATCACAGCATTTCAAAGTGGAAAGTTAAATACCAAAGGAGGACCAAATTTAAAATCCCTGTAATAATATAAGCATTTCAATTTTGATAAAACTAATCCAATCCTGCCCCTCAACTAGTACTCTTTGGCAAGCAGTACCTGTGAGAATGTGCCTTTTATTTACACTTGAGGGACATGATGGAGATGGTTAACCACTATCATTTAAATAAAATAAAACTGTTGAATGATTGATTTGCAGAATTGTTCAGTTGTAACATCTGTATTTGAAACTGCCTACAGTAATTTCACCACAACTAACCTACCTTTTACTTATCTTTCCTAACTCTGTGTTTTCAAATTTTGCTTCTTGACTGAGCAACTTTAGACAGATCATATTTTTTACTGTATCGTGTTTATGAACAGTGATATGAAAAGTAATAAGCAATAATATCTTAATAAATAGATTTTTTTCCATTGGTGTTGCAAAGATACAAAAAGCATATCAGGCCTTCCAGAAGCAAAGCTGGCAGTCCTGAACATCTTCAGTTCCTATTTCCTTTTACCCTGGGATGACACAGTATCGTAAAAGGAAGTTTAGATCCTCTTCTTATGAACACATGGCACATAACAAGGCAGACTTAAATGCTTTCCATCAGAAAATGGAAACAGAGGAACTCAGATACCCTGAAAGGTACAGCACATAATGTTACCTGTATGTTTTTTTTCCCTTTTATTAAACTTTTCACAGAACTTAGAAGACAATGTCTTCTCCAAACGACATGCAAAGTTGGAATTGGATGAGAAAAGGAGGAAAAGGTGAGTGATGAAATAAAGCTGTTTACATGCCAGAAACGTAGGCAGCCACTTTTAGATTTAGATTAGATTTAGATTTTTTTATCCCGCCTTTATTATTTTTATAAATAACTCAAGGCGGCAAACATACCTAATACTCCTTCCTCCTCCTATTTTCCCCACAACAACAACCCTGTGAGGTGACTTGGGCTAAGAGAGAGCTAGCAACTGGCTTAAAGTCACCCAGCCAGCTTTCATGCCTAAGGTAGGACTAGAACTCACAATCTCCTGCTTTCCAGCCTGGTGCCTGAGCCACTAGACCAAGCTGGCTCTCACTTTTATTTAAACATTTGACAATGAATGGTACATAGAGGTTGTATTGATTGCAAACAGCTGTTAAGAATGGGGCATGTAATAATATGAAAGGCTTTGTGCAGTTGGTATATCTTAAATCTACTTTTTAGGATTATGCGCTTGCTTTATACCATGTGCTGAGTGGCTTTGGATTGGGGCTTTATAATTAGTTAGTTGAAGAAAGCATGGGTAGCAATTCCATCTAACAAGGGATTGAACAAATGGGTATTTCATGATTTGGCTGCAATACAAGGACTTGGGATAACCCATAGAAATTGAAAAGCATCTGGTTTAATACAGAGGTACGTTAGTCAAGAGTAAGCATACTGGTTTTTCTAGAACCTAAAATACTCAGATTTGCCCTCAAATGAAATTTTGAAAGTTTTTGTTGTTGTTCCTTTTCCCCCTCCACTCACAGGTGGGATATTCAGCGTATCCGGGAGCAAAGAATTTTACAGCGACTGCAACTTAGAATGTATAAAAAGAAAGGAATTCAGGAATCTGAGCCTGAAGTTACCTCATTTTTCCCAGAGTCAGATGATGGTGAGTGGTTATCAGAATTCTCATATCCCTATCTTATGCACAGAGAATCTTGGATTGGAATGATCCTATTGTAAAAACAAGTATGATATGTGAATGAACATAGTAGCTAAATATGTAATGTTCCTCTCTCTTCCATTTCCTCTTCTAGTTGAAAGCTTGCTGATCACCCCATATTTGCCTGTTGTAGCATTTGGCCGACCATTACCAAAATTAACCCCACAGTAAGTATGCCAATGTATTATATATCTGCATTAAGGAAGAATGTATTTTGTAAAGGTTGTAAAGGGAGAGCTACCTTGTTCTTGCTTATGTAGTGTATCGTTTGCTTGGTGGTTTTGTGGACAGATTTGGGTTTCACTGGGATGAGAGAAGGCCAATTCAAAAATTTAACAAATGGCATCTAGCCAGATTGTTATCTTTAAATCGTAAGTGCGTTTTAGAACTGTAGGCTCCTGCAAAAACTAAGGACAATGCTGCATAGGTAGTAATAGGGAATTGGTTGTCTGAGATGTGATCATGGTGAAGTTAAGTGAGAAATCATAAAGGCTTGATAAGAAATCCCTTAGTTGGGCTATGAATAATAACAACTAAATATTAAAAAAAATAGGAAATATGCAAAAGGTTGGGAGGTTCAATTGCAGCTCCTGACTCTCAGAAGTTGCCTGTCCATGGATTAAGCAAAGAAATACTTGTCACTATCAATCCTATCTCAGAGAAATATACTGTTGTTTATAAAAGATGCCGTTTTCCATTTTACAAGGGACCACCTTGAATTGTTCCCTTTTTTAAACTCTCTCACTCTCTAATTTTGTTGATGAAACTCTTCCATCCTTAAGCTAATGGTGAGTATCATACAAATCACATTTCTGTGGCCTTTCTATTATTTGCATTCTTGCAGTCATGGTTTACTTCCTTTTACATTGCAAAGGTAAGGAGGTGAAAATGTATCGATAAAATAGTTCGAAAATAATTGGGAAAAAAATAATGGTTTTAGTTTTAGCTCCCATGACTTAAAATTCACATTTTCATTTTTTTTCTGTTTCACTTTTTTCTATAATTGATACTGGCTGGGTTTACAGACTGCACTAAGCCATAATGTGGTTGTTGAGGTTTTATCTTAGCGCGTTGTGTGGATGCATTTATTACAACTTGTAATCCATTGCTTAAGGGATAGCAGGTTATGTGAACTCAGCCAATTGTGGTTTATTTGGCAAACATGATTAAATAATACCCATTGTTGTAGAAGAATGCTATCGATGAAACACTTTTCAGTAGCTAAAGTTCAATATTATCTATATTCAAATGTTATGCAAATTTTCTAGAAATTGTGCTTATGGCTTGTGTTTAATTTCTAGTATGATCTTTGCTGCCAGACATGTAGGCTTGGAGCCAACTTACACAACTGTAGACATGAACTGCTAACCCTTTTCTTCTCTTCTTCTGTCACTTTTTGCCTGGCAGGAACTTTGAACTGCCGTGGCTGGATGAACGAAGTCGTTGCCGGCTAGAGATGCAGAAGAAACAGACTCCTCATCGGACGTGCAGGAAATAGGCATGTCAAAATAGGAGAAATCTGTCTTGATGGTTGGCCTGTGCTATTTGCTGCAAATGGCAGAGAACTGTATATGTTTTGTTATGTCACTTTCTTCTACCATCTCCCATGATGTACATTCTTGTTCACTATAAATATTTTTTATGCTTACATAGGTTTTTTTTCTTTTTCCCCTGAAATTTTTTTCATTTGTTTTTCATTTTTTTTCTTTGCTTGGTAGAAAGTATTGGAGGTTTGTGTTGGGAGAATAAGGTTAGCAATTTATGGTGTGCCTCTATTGAGCTGTATTGGAAAGCTACAACCAGCACAATCCACTGAGAAGCTATGAAAGATGGACAAGCATAATAGTATAATGAAACACTTTCCATTTGTGAGTTCCTGACAAACATGAAACCCACCTCTGATTGAAAAAAAAAAAAAAATACACACACACACACACACACACAGAGTATGTGTGGTTCTTAAGAATAATTAGCTTGCTAATTAAGGGCCTTGAAAATTTGGGGGAGAGGGTTATCCATCATTGAGCAACACAGACATTTCATTTGACCTATTGCTTCTAACTGCTGTTCTATAAAGCATCCACATATTGATTCATGTATTTTCTCCTGCCCCATTGGCTTTCCAAGGCTTTTTAATGGGTTCCTTTCATGCCTTCTGATCAAAATACAATTACTAATCAGGTCTTGAATTTGTAATACTGAATGCAGGTAGTTCTGGTAGTGAAGGGCTCCATGCCTTCACAACTTTGTCATAGTTCTGATAGATAATTTGGCAAAATCCAGAATGAACCATGCAATGCTAGTTTGTCTCTAGATGTTTTCCTGTTTTGTTTTACCAGATATCCTGTCAAAACTGTGAAACAATTATTATTGTTTTTTAATTGGACAGTTTGGGTTTCCCAATGGAAATACTGAGTAGTAGCTGAAACTTTAATTTGTGATTGTTTTAAAGTTTGGCAGTTTTTTAAGCCAATCATAATCCTGTAACTCTTAAGTAAGTGGAAATCAAAACTTTCATCCTTCTCTGAGAACAGGGAATTCCTTTGTAAAACCGCATGTCCTTCTGCCTGATCTACATCATTTTGGGAAGCTGCCTTTGTCTGTGTATTGCCTGCTTAGGGGAATAGTGTAACTAACTTTTTTTTTTGCGCTGACTAATTTCTAGATAAATGGGGGGGAAAGTTTGTTTCCTGGATTGTAAAAAAACAAACAAACCCTAATTCAGGTTATTTTCCTGCATCACTTTCAGAGGACACTTAAAAAATGGTTTCATTTTTCCATTTTAATTTCTAGATATTTCAGGACAGTTACATTCCCACTTCTGGGTAATTTCCCCTGGGAATTTAAAATACTATTTTTCCCACCAAAGGTAGCACACTTAGTATGAGCATTGTTAAAAGTTATATTCTATGACTTGAAATTAAAATGATACGAACAGATCCTCTCTTCTGCCATGTAGTCTATTGTAGTTGAAGTAGTGCAAAATGTTTGCCTGATTTTGTTTTAAATATGGCTGTATTTGGATCTTTTGCTTTTTAGCATGCCAGCATGCATCCATAAATGGTTATTTTTTGTCCCCTGCAAGTAAGTACAAGCGTGGATGTTTCAAAGAAGCAGATTTTTGGTAGAAGCTTCTTGAAGGCATTATTGATTTTGGAACTTGATCTTGCTTTCTCTAAAGTAATTGGAAATGGGGCACAAGATCAGTTCTTGAATCTAGATTCCATTTTCAGAAGACAATGTTTCTGTTTAGCCCAAAATAAGTCTATTATCAGAAATAATTCAGTTTGTGTTCTGAATAAAATTACATACTGTCTCTTCCGTCCCCACAGTGAACAGAATAGAATGTTGACTCTTTCAGAAAGACTTAGAATCAGTTGTAACACGTGCATCATAAAAGGATGAATGGGCGTGTGGAAGTAGGTAGGGTTTGTAGAAAAAGTTTGCAGTGGATGTTAGCTGGGAATGGGCTGGAACAAATAGTTTCCCACCCTGTAAGGAGTTCAACATTTGAAAATTGTGTTAATGAAAAGCCAATGCAAATTAGATCTGATTTTTTTTTAAACAAACAAACATTTTCTTTAACCAAGTTTATGGTAGTTCTAAAAAAACTGTCTATAATTCCCTCCCTCTTGTTTTTCTGCCCTTTCAAATGTGGTTGTCTGCAAATGCATCCTTTTTTATACCATTTTAAATATGTAAAATCAGTTGTCTTGTAAATATCTTATAAAGGAAAAAAGTTGTAAATACCAAATTTGTGGCTGTTAATGTTCATTTTTTGTTTTTAAAATTGTTTTGCTTTGGTTCATTTAGTTTTAACAGTGTTAACAAGGAGTATTAAAAGAGAAATTCTGCTTGTATGTTTAAACAAAATTGAAATAAAAACATTTTTTTACAATAAAATGAAAAGAATATTAATACTTTTGTCATGTATTGCCTCATTTGACAGGCCAGGTACAGTTCTGAAATTCTATACCTTTCCTGTCATCCATCAAATAAGAGTCATCTGACCATTGCTAGGAATGGACAGGGTTCTCTGTGCTGTCAGCTCAGCCACCTGATCATAAAAGTGGCCAAAGAGGTGACCCGTGGTTGGGTCCATGCTGTGGTGTCAACCTCTCTGAGGGAGGGGATGGTACCTCCAGCCTTGAAAGAGGCAGTGCTGTGCCCCTTCCTCAAGAGACCATCCTTGTGTCCAACAATTTTTGACAACTACTGACTGGTCTCCAAACTCCCCTTTTGGGGGAAGGTTGTTGAGAAGATGGTAGAGAGAGCCATGATAAAACCCTGCAGGAAACAGATTATCTAGGCCCATTTCAGTCAGGTTTCAGGCCAAGATTTAGTATTGAGACAGCTTTGGTTGTGCTTGTTGACGACCTGTGGCACAGTCTGGATGGCGGTGGTGCACCCATCTTTGTGCTCCTTGATCTCTCAGTGGCTTTCAGTACTATTGACCACAGTATCCTTCTGAGATGGCTCTATGGTTTGGGGGCACCATTTCATGGTGGGGGCCACTTACTTTCTCTGGGGTTGGTTCCAGTTGGTTGGGGGGAAAGATAACTCCGTAGGCCCCTTCTGTGTGGGGTGTTGCAGGGTTCTACTGTCTCTCCCCTCCTTTTCAGCATCTACGTGAAACCACTGGGTGAGGTCATCCTCCAGTTCGGGGTTTGGTATCATCAGCATACTGATGATACCAAATTGCATCTTTCATCCCTGAGCCAGCCAAGTGAGGCTGTCAAGGTTCTGTCCCAGTGCCTGGAGGCTATACAGGTTTGACTGGGGAGGAACCATCTCCAACTCAATCCTACCAAGACCAAGTGGCTATGAGTGTTTGGACTGGTTCTGATCTGGAGATATTCCATCTTTGATCTTGGATGGGGTTGCACTTCCCCCTTCAAGGTTGGTATGCAATCTGGGGGTCTTTCTGGCCTTGCAGCTTCTGCTTAAAGAGGTGTCAGCTGTGGCCAGGAAGGCCTGTGCACAATTCCATCTGTGTGCCAGTTGTGCCCTTTCGTAGATCAGGGAATCCTTCAGTCAGTCACTGATATCCTAGTTACCTCGCAGCTTGACTACTGCAATCCTCTCTATGTGGAGCTACACTTGAAGACTACCCAGAAACTTCAACTGGTCTACAATGTGGCAGCATGAGCAGTAATGGGCATGCCTCAGTATGCCCATGTAACACCTTTGCTTTGTGAGATGCACTGGTTGCCAATTTGCTTTTGGGTATGATTCAAGGTGCTGGTTGTTACCTATAAAGCCTTACATGGCATAGGGCCTGAATACTTGAGGGACTGCCTGTCTCCCATAACCTCTGCCCAGCCCATTTGATCCTAGAGGGTTGGTGCACTGGGTTCCTTCAATTAATGTCATCTGTCAGGACCCCAAAGTATGCCTTCTCTATAGCAGTGCCTGCCTTCTGGAACAAGATCTCCCCTCAGATCTGGACAGCCCCCACTCTGCTGTTATTTAGAAGAGTCATGAAGACCTGGCTCTTCACCCAGGACTTCAGCAAGGGAGAGTGAGACCCCTCACTTCATTGCACTTGCCATCTTTTTTGTTTTTTGTATTTTATTAAATTTTGTTTGTTGTGAGCCGCCCAGTCACTGAGTCAGGTGGCATACAAGTTTAATAAATTATCTCTGCTTCAAGATAGTATATGGTATGGAGTTTGCAGCCAAAATGTATGGGTATGTATTTAGAAAAAATATAATTGATTGTATAAATCCCTTTAATCCCCAGTATGTGTGTATGGATAGACCTTGCTTACCGACTGCCTCATTTGGCGACCATTCGAAGTTATGATGGTCCTGAAAAAATAACTTTATGACCAATGCCTGCATTTATGACCTTTGCAGCGTCCCTCAGTTACGTGATTGCCATTACAGTCAGTACACGTCCTGTGCCTGACCTGTTTTTTTCTCCCCCCCCACCTTGCAGTAAGCAGGCACACAATGGGGAATACTCTGAACTGTTTGTGTAGCACGCTTGGGGCTGTTTGCATAGTGCACTCAGGGCTGTCGCACCACCACATTCCTTTCGATGTGCATTCCCCATTGTGTGCCTGCTTACTCTCTTGTAATCCCTTCCTCTCCAATGAATGTAAATACAAACATTAATTCCCATCTTACTAATTATCCTAGGACTGGAGTGAGCGTTCCAAAGGATGGGGGAGTCGGAAAAAGGAAAGCCAATGTAAAATTATTAGGAGGCAAACAAAAGCCAAAGGTGTGAAACTGATTAGTCTTGTCAGTTACAATTAGCAGCTGCCAGCAGGCTACCCAGCACTGGGGTGAGCATTCCAAAGGGCAGGGAAATGGAGCAACTCATGGTCAAGTGATTTCCCACTTTGCAACCACTTCACTTAATGACAGAGCCGCTGGTCCCAAATTGTGATTGCTAAACGAGGACTAACTATAGGATTGCAGCCTCATGGCTGCTCACCTAGACAACCTTAGCACAAAAACTTAAACATTCAAAGCATTCATTAAAATGTAATGGTTTCATCTTAATGAAGTAATTGTGAAGTACATGTGGAATTGGTAGATTTAAGAGTATCAGTCTTTATGGGAATCTCTCAAAGTTACTGCAGAAAATCTCCAGGTGTGGCAGAAGTTGTAGTGCACAGTATTGGGTTAAATAAGCCAATCTGTCTTAATTACAAAGTAATTTAACCGTGACTGTGGCCCACCTCATCAGATGTGTAAAGCTGGTGGAGAGTCAACTATTTCTGCTGTGGCCCCCGCTCTGTGGAACAACTTACTACCTGAGGTGTGGTGTGCCCCCACTCTCATGGCCTTCAGGAAGAATGGGGGCTCGCACCAGTGGAAGTGGCTTGTGGGTAATTGATTCTACCTCCCCAACATCTTGAATGTTTTTAGTCTTTTTATGTATAGGGTTTTTTTTAATATAGCCTGACTTTTTAATTAATTAATGTGGGTATTTATTTAATTGTTTTCAGGTTTTACTCTGTGAGCCGCCCAGAGTCACCCTCTGGGGGAGATGGGCAGCATACAATTTTAATAAACAAACAAACAAACTATGAAGCATCCTACAGGAAATTATCTGGACTTGGAACACAGATGGCATTGATTGCCTAGCACAGTAAATGACCTCTATTGAGACCTGGATGGGGGAGTGTTCCCATCCTCATCCTTTGATCTCCCAGCAGCTTCTGAGGCTATAAATTGTGGTGTCCTCGTGGGCTGCCTGCAGGAACTGGGAAGATGGTGCTGCTCTGCTCCTTCTTCAGTAGGCAGTTCCAGTCAGTGTTGGGACAAGAGAGATTAGTCCAGTGGCTATTCCTTTATGGGGGTCACTTCACTCTTCCCTTCTATTTAAGATTTACATGAAGTTACTGGGAGAGGTCATCTGGCAGTTTGATGTTCAATATCATCAATATGGTGATGATATCGAATTTTACTTTGCTACCCCAGGCCAGATGAGTGGTATCATTGAATTCCTGTCCCAGTGCCTGGAGGCTGTGAGGGCCTGGATGGGAGAGAAGAGTCTTAAACTGAATCCTAGCAAGATGGAATTGCTGTTTTTCCACCAGAGTTCTATGCTTTAGTGATTTCTATTACAGCACTATCCCTGAAGAAGCAAGTTCACAACTTGGGGGTCCTTCTGGCTTGCAGCTCCTGCTAGAAGAGCAGATGGAGACTGTGGCTGTGAGACCTTTTCCCAGCTTTGCCTGATGTGCCAGGTGTACCCCTACTGGGTTGAGAGGATCTTGCTATAGTAACTTGTACCTGTCACCACCAGCATAGACTACTGCAATGTGCTGTTCATGAGGCTGCCTTTGGGGCTGCAGTTGGTTCAGCCCATGTGCTGATTGCAAACACATTACATCAGTGCTGCAGACCTTACATTGGCTACTACTAGGTTTCTGGTAGTAGCCAGAATTTAAAGTGCTGGTGTTAACCTATAAAGCCTTACATGGCTTGACTGCTAGTTATCTGCAGGACTGCAAGCTCCCATTGGAATCAGCCTGACCAGTTTGATCTACCAGGGAGAAACCACTAGTGGTGCCCCACTTTAGAGAGGTGGGGGCGTGGGGTAAGTCTTGGCAGTGCTGCTTCTCAGTGGCTATGCTGCTCCTTGAGAGGATCTTGCTATAGTAACTTGTACCTGTCACCACCAGCATAGACTACTGCAACTTGGCTCCCACCTGGAATGCCTTCTGGAAGCTGTTCCAAACAGCTCTTCTGGAGGGCTTTCAGTTACAATTTGGCTTTGTTAATTTCATTCTATGATTTCATTGATTTGTGGAACTTTTATTTGTGTACTTTTATTGTATATTGTTTCTTGTGTATATTCTTCTGTAACCCACCAAGAGCCCTTAGAGATTCGAGAGACTATAAATATAATAAATATTGCTCAAATAAACACAAGAATCATTAATCCATTCCCTATACCAGTCCTGGAAAAAACATTTGATGCACTGAACATTTTTATAGCCAAAGAATGACAATTATGTACTGTATAAATAAAGTTACTTGCTAATCACAAACAAGTCAATGAAAACAATCAAAACAAGAATTTTTAAAATATTTATCCCACCTTTATTATTTTTATAAATAACTCAAGGCGGCAACCATACCTAATACTCCTTCCTCCTATTTTCCCCACAACAACCCTGTGAGGTGAGCTGGGCTGAGAGAGAATGACTGGCCCAACGTCACCCAGTGGCTTTCATGCCTAAGGCAGGACTAGAACTCACCATCTCCTGCTTTCTAGCCTGGTGCCTGAACCACTAGACCAAACCAGCTTAATTTCCTTAAAAAGAAAGGTTATAATTTGGGGTTTTTTTAGCTTAGGAAAGAAAGAAGGGAAAATGATAAAGGTGTATGAAATTACATACGGTAGGCAGAAAATGAATGGGGATGCTTTTCTTCCACCTCCTAATATAAAATGGAGTCAACCCAATAAAGTTAATCAGTGGAATATTCAAGGACAAAAATAGGAAATACTTCGCATTACAAAATTCCTTGCCATAAAACGAGGTGGCCTTTGAATTAAGATGGCTTCAGAAGGGATCAGGATTCCTGAAAGGGGTGCGGAATGGAAGGGAAGCAAGAAACCACATCGCAGAAACCAGTTTAGTCAGACTCCTCCCATCCTCCAGGGCCTTACCATCACATACAGTGTGGGGAGGATCTGTACAGGATATGGAGATGAGTCCCCTCCGATATTACCCATAATGGTATTTGATCCTGTCATGAGAGTTGCCAGAGGCAATGTACAAAGGCAGCAGAGATGACAGCTGCATCGCCTAATGGCTGGTGGCGTTTTGCGTCGTCTCTCTGACGATCGGCTTCCCACCCTAGCCTTCCATAAGCCGCTGTTCTTTTACACATGAATGTCCACCTTCTTTCCTCCAGAGGCTGCAGCGCCGCACTATTTTAGCACTGCAGGAAAACTGGAATGACGTAATCGCCGCAATGGGAAAACGTCACGCCGTTTCTCACTGGCAAGACACCTTTCACGCCCACCTCTCCTGCAGCAATTTAGAGGCATATAAAGCACGTGATACTGTTGCCGGGCGTCTTTCTCCCCGCCTATTGAACCGCTTTCTCGTGACGTCACCACCCTCGATTGGGCGCGAATTTTCTTCTTCCCCTCAATCCTCTTCCTCCATCGAGAGTTCTCCGAGCCTCTTCGACATCCAAGCGCAAAGAGTTCTGGGTGAACGAATGAAAGAGCGAAATAAGACCCGCGTTGGACGCTGGGAATCGTAGTCTTTTCGTGATTGGAAGTCGTCCTCCTTACCCGTCATCCTCCTTGGGCCCTGCTTCCTCTTCCTCCTCCTCCTAACGTTTCGCTTCTTGTTTCCTTTTTTGGGTGCTGTCAAGATGGCGGATCGTAGGAGGCAGCGCGCTTCGCAGGATAGCAGCGAGGAGGATGAGTCCGACTCGCCGCCTGGAAGCGCAGGTTCTTCCCCACGCAGCGGCAGTCACCGCTTTGGCTTAGCCGGAGCGGCAGGCAACGGGGGTGCTACTGCTGGTACTGAAAACGTGGAGGCGCCGGTGACGGTGGGAGGTAGCCCGGCCGACTCGGAGTGTGTGAGTGGAAAGATGCGGGAGGGGAAGAGGAAAGGGGAAAGCTCCTCGATCAGATCCTGCCTTCTTTTTGCATGTAGCGGGGGAGAATTTGACTGCGGCCCTCTCCTTGGGTACTCCTGCAAAGTTGGGAAAAGCTGGGGGGCGGGGGGAGAGTGGTCCTGAGGATGTATAGAGTGCTCCTTTACTCATCGCTGCGTGGTGGCCTCCAGGTTCCACTTGCTTGGGGAAAAACAACCCTAGTATCTGGCTTTCCTTTCGATGTTTTCTCCATAGCCGTTTTTTCGTCTCAAAACTGGGTAACCACCGCCTCCGTTTGCGTGCTGCATTAAACATAAATGTATCTCCGAGCGTAATGCGCAGACGGTGCGTACCTGTTATTCTAAGGCAAAGGATGTCAGCGTTAAGGCAAATTTCAGTAATGGTATCTTTTGTTTTGCTGAAATTTAAACTGAATGTTATGTCTGTTAAGTTTCTTTGAGATTATACATACTCTTCTTCGGATCTGTTAGTAGGTAGTACTAATATGTTTGAAGACATGTCATATTTCAGTTACTTTTCTTACACCTGAGAAGTCTTCTGCCTTTTTAAATAAGCAGTGCGGGTTTTGTGTAATGAGTCTTGAAAATGTGGTC